CCTTATTCTATATACTGAAATCTATCATCTATTTAAATATTAGATCAATATAAAGTTTTTTGCCTTAAAAACAACAAAAAAAAAAAATTAATTACTGTTGATAACTATGAGTTGTTTAGTTTTTTGTTGTTTTCTCAAAGTCAATTTCTAATTTAGCCTGTTTTGCAAACGCATCAATTTATAATGTTATTTTGCTACTAAATTAGAAATCTGTAACCTAGGACTTATAAATGTAGTAAGCGTTATAACTTTTAGTTGTAAAAGGACTATTCTTAATTATGGACCAAAACCAGAAATTTAAATCTTTTAGTCTTGTTGTTGTTGTTGTTGTTGTTGTTGTTGTTGTTGTTGTTGTTGTTGTTGTTGTTGTTGTTGTTGTTGCATCATCAACAAGCATCTGTAAAAGCTCTAAAAGAGCTATGATGTTTGTGGTTTTAGGAAAAACTTTATTTACATGTGTAGTTTTAGGAGAACATTCTACTAACATGCATAGTTTTATAAGAGCTATGCTGCTTAACATTAAGTTTAACTAGTTTTTTCAGACAGAACCATCAACACAAGATAATTTTTTAATTAGTGTATATACAACAATATACACATGTAATAGATAAATATTTATGATGGTTGCATACCTAAAATAAACACCTAATAAGTATAATAAATACAATTGTTTACATTTAAATAATGCATTTTGTTTAGCAATTTTATGTATGCTGGGAAAAACATTATTTCTGCTTTATTTTTTTAATATTTAATGAGAGTTAATGAATCTTGCTGACAGAAATTTTTTTTATATGATGAATATAAAAGTATTTTTATTATTTTTGGCATTATTTATATCACAATAATAATAGTAACAAAATATTTTTTTATAAATAAGTTCAGATAATAATTTTAATGTATTTCTTTTAATATCTTTTTAATCTTTTAATAACTTTTAATAAATTTAAATATTTAGATGCTGCTAATGTTCGTTTATCATTTGATGAGTGTTCAGATGTTCATGCTGTTGCATCTTTGTTAAAGCAGTACCTCCGTCAACTACCTGAACCTCTTTTAACAAATGAGCTTTATAATGATTTTATATCTAATTCATGTAAGTAATGACCTTTGTGATTTTTGCATTTAATTAAATAAATAAATATATAAACCAGGCATGCAAAGTTGAAGCCCAGTGTCCAGGAGTCCCTGTTTTTACCTGGATTCCGTAATCCCACTTGTAAAAATTTTTGGGAGAGGTTTTTTAAATTTGATATCAATGAATAAACATTTCCTAACTTTATTATAACTTTTATAAGTTTATTAATTTAAAATTCTTTAGCTAACTGTTATGTAACTATAAATTAATAAAAGTACAATCATATTGAATTACGTTGCATATGCCCTCGGACATATAAAAATTCCAAAATGTGCAGCACATTTATGGCATAGATCATCTATAGCGTACATTGTTTTTAAAGTATATAAGAGGCGAATTACAGTATATGCAGTGTGCAAAACCTTTGCTGTACACTGATAGCTAGATGCTAAATTATGCTTAGGCATAAATATATACACACTAAAACCTTTATTGATGCCAAAGTAAAAGAAAGTATTTTTCAAACGTGTTTCCCTAATGATATTAAATAAACTAATAAATATGGTTTTCCTGATAAAAAAAATAAGTAAGTAATATTTTTAAATCGTATAAGTTGATTTCTTAGCTATTAAGTCAAATAAGTTGAGTGTATATGAACTTCTTGCTTGCAAGCTGAGTACTCTACCACTACACTACTATTGCATGTAAAGCAGGCTTGGTTGGGAAGCAGGAGCAATCACTCTAGATTGCTGACCATGGTAATAATGTTTAGTTGCAAAAAGCTGGCCAGATTTTTTAGTCGTTTTGAGAACATTTCAAAAAGCAAAAAAAAATGCGCTAAAGATTAATTAGACTGATGAAAGACAATTGCAAAAATAAAAAAAAAAATTAGGAAAGTAAATTATCTTTTAACGCAAAAAAACTTAAAGCAAAATAAATTACGTTTAAAACAAATATTTTCAAAACATCTCTCTTTTATAATTTTTTTATAAAATTATGTGATGTTTTTTATAAAAAGTAACATCTTACGATTGTTTAAAATGGAAACAAATGTTCTTTATTTAACAAAGAGTGTAATATAATTTTTATTTATATACTCATGTCTTATTTCCAGTGTTGGTTGGGTTTAGAGGGAGCTATAGTCCTGGGCCCTGCATTGCTAGGGCCCCAAAAAAAGTCAAAAAGACCTTTTTGTTGAGTCATTTTTACGCTGTGGCACATACAAAGGCATCCAAAATAAAAATAGCCCCGGCCCCGAAAAGTCTAACAAGATTCTAATAAATCTAATGCAAGTTTTAGTTTTATCTGAGCTAAATTATTTTATAAATAAAAAAGTTAATTTTTTTAATATCTATTTCATGCTTCGCGTAGTTTGAAAAGTTTAACATACTTGAAACAATTCTTCTTAGTCAGATAAACAAATGAAATAGTTAAATCATTGAATTATTATAGAAATTAAATAAACTAGATAGAAATCAACTAAAAAGGTTTAAAATACTTTATGACGAGGAAGCGAAACTGCTTCACAATATCGCCGATGATGTTTAGTGAGTGGGCTTTTTAATTTTAAATAGTATATTAAGCAGAGAAAAGTATAATGAGTTTTTCAAGAATGGCAACTGAAGTGAAAATAATTAGAGTTGGTAAACCAATATCTAGAAACTTTTCTTTATATCTAATAACTTGTTATATATATTTGTGTTCTGTCATGACCTCAGGCGCGGTGCTTGTTCATCCGCGAGTTACTTTGTATGCATTGCTTGTTTTTAGTAACCAGAAACTTCTTATATGTTTGTTACATAATTAGTTTCATTAACTTTAATGATTATTAATAACTTTATTGAAAACTTTATTGAAAAAAATTATTTTTGTAAGTCTTTGTTTACAAATTAAATCATAAAAATTGCTTTGAAAGATTACATTACGATAAAAAACAGATACGCAAAATTACATTTACATAAAAAATACATACTTTTTAAAACTATCTTTTAAAACATTTCAACAGAATACTCTATACGCTTAGTCAGCGTAATTTTTGAACCAATAGAATTAGTTCATTAATTTGGCGGGTTTTTAGTGTTCACAAATATTCTTTTTCTTCTTCCGCACCAAGATGTTTTGAGAACATTCAAGTTTACTATGTTTCCATGTATGTCTGTAAAACAAATTTTTTTTATTACGTACATAAACTTAAATTTTCTCAAAATGACTAAAAAATCTAGCCAGTTTTTTGCAACTAAATATTATTTTCGTGGTCAGTATTTGAGAGCGTTAAACAAACAAATTCGTTATCTAAATTGTATTAGTAAATAAAATAAAAATTCCTTCAACTTGAAAGAAATAATTATTTTATACCTTCAACTGAAAAGAAATAATTATTTTGCTTGTGCCTCTTTTTTTATGACTAAGCAACTCATTCTATTATCTCCTAATGAGGGTACAGCTCTAAAACTCAGTTTTATGGTTCTGAGACTGGCTAGTAGTCAGGATTCCCAAATTCTGTGGTAGCTCTCAGAGAGGCTGGTTTCATCAACAGCTGTAAAGTATCAAAGTACTAATAGTGCTATGTTGCTCATGGATGGTGTCCCTGTTCGTACTTTTGGTGTGCATTGTCGAGGCTTGGTTTGGAGCCTTTTGTTATGGCTTAGGGTTAATTAATAGTATTGAGGCAATTGCTCGGACTATGAGATAGTGTAGTAAGTACTATCTGCTTTAAGTCAAGTTCTTCAACTAATTTAAAAAAATGAGTAAGGCATCAAAAAATATAAAACACAAAAAGCGATTGTCATCTCCAAGTTCTCTAAATCTAATACTCATTCACTAATAATCGTGGTCTTCAAAGTAACTTTTTTTCTATTGAGTATTATCTCTTGCAAAGTTCACCAGACCTCTTTGCTCTTTGTGAGACTAATTTGAGTACAACTGATCTTGTGATCTTAGTGTTAATAGTTGTCTTTAATTTGTGAAAATTCCAATAGTCACATGCTTGGCCTGGGCATTTACATTCAAATGAATTCACCCATTTGTCTGCAAACTAAGTTTAAATTCACAGACTATTGTTCTATGTGCTTTGGTTTAGCACCACTTTACTCTATCACCTTTCTCTTTGTTCTATATCACTCTCCTTCATCTCAAGACTGCGGCAGTGGTGTAGTGGTAAGAGCGCTCGCTTTGTAAGCGAGAGGTTCGGAGTTCGACTCCCACCACGTCCCTGGAAGTACCGCGCTCAACTTAGTTTCTCCGCGCAGCGGCCTTGCTTGTCAAGGTTCGTGTTTCGGAGTTAAAGAGTTGAGAAAGGGTTGTACCACGAAATACAACAAAAAAATAAAAAACACAAAAAAATGAGTAGCCTCCTCGACTGTAGTGGCCCCCTCGGGCCTTGGGGAGGTGAATAATGTAAAAAAAAAAAAAAAAAAAAAAAGACTGCACTATTTTCGATGTTATTTCTGATCAAATTGACCAAGCCCTTTTTCTTTATCCATTAGCCAATATCATTGTTGTTGGTGGCTTTAATGCTCATCACATTAAATGGCTTGGTTCCAGTGTCAGTGATTTTTTAAATTTATTACTAATGATCACAACATTTTATGTAATAATAAGTACATTTTGCAAATATCTACTTTGTTATATTTATATCTACTTTGTTATATTTACAAATTTTATGCACTAGATTTGTAATAGAATTCAGTTAGAAATGTTTACATTTTATAAGAAAATATGTTAATGTCTAGAGTTGCCGCTAGAGGCCTGACTTTTTACAAAAAAACACCTTTGTTTCTGTGGAAATAAATTGCAGGTTCCAATTTTTATTTAAATCAAATTAAATTTAATTATATTATTGATGCTTTTACTTGTTGTCATTTATAATAATGGAATAAAACTAATAAAGATGCAATATACCAAACATTATGTGACCAATGGTTACAACAGTGTTTATTAACATTACATAAAAAGTCAGGACTTTAAGAGTGGTCTGGAAGTCAAATAAATCAGATAATTGAACTTTGTTATAGCTAAAGTTTAAACATGGAGGAATTTTTCTTCTCTATTAAAACTTTGATTGTATGTTATGTACTGTGGAGCTTGTTTAGTATCTTTATTCTAAAAACTCAGTTGACAACAATTGAAGACATTTTTTTTTTTCTATAAAACAATTCTGAGTCATTATTTAATAATTTTTTTTTTTGTTTTTTTTGTTTTTTTTTTTGTTTTTTTGTTAAAAATTGCTGAAAACTTTTTTTTTTTTTACAAAAACATAAAACAACTTCATAGCACTAACTGAATACATAAAAGTTTAATTACACAATTAATATTTACATCATAATGCAACTTTTCCACTCTTATAATTTGAAATTCAAATTAAAAAAGTTTTTTGATACACTCTAATTTTTTAGAATTTAGTTTTTAGAACTTGAGCATTTTTTATTTAAATTTTTTATCTTTCATTGCGCTTTTATAATATTATAGTAACTCCTTTTAAATAAAGTAACTTCTAATGGTTGTGTAATAAATGTTTAGATTTAATTTTAATTATAGTGTTTTTTTAATAGTTTAAAAGTTTCAATATAAACACTTGCTAGTAAATAATTACTTATTTAAAATTTTTATATTAAACTCTTTTTTAAATCAAGTTTTGTTTATACGTACAATTTTATAATTTTTTATTTTATTTTAATTAATTTTATTTTAAAAGATTAGCATTTCCCATAAAAAATACACGCATATATAAGTAAATAAAAACTTCATATTTAGTAGTATTTATAAGTAAATAAAAACTTCATATTTAGTAGTATTTATAAGTAAATAAAAACTTCATATTTACCATTACTTTTTATAAAAAATCAAATACACGCATATATAAGTAAATTATTTGCATATTTCCTTTTTATAAAAAATCATAAGCAGTGATTTTAAAAGCGTTTCAATAATAAAAAATATTAGTATAGATAAAGTTAAATTGTTTTTACAACAATATTTTTTATCTTTTTGAGTGTATTAGCTTTAATGATTTTTATACAAAGTTTATTAAAAAAGACTAACGCTCTCTAAAAAAGTCTTCATTTAAAAATATATATATACATATATAAATATTGAATAAAATTTTTTACAAAAAACTTTCTAAATGTAGTTTCATTATTATTTCAAACAGTTCAAAAGTTATTATTAAAAAATATTTATCTGAATAAAGTTATCCTCTTAAACAACTAAAGAAAGAAATTAACTTTAGGAACAAAAATGTTGCTTCTTATAGAAATCTTAAATTAATAATAAATAAAACTAACTATGGAAAAATCAATAGTCGCAACTTAATCGCATTGAAGAAATATTTTAGTTGCCCTTCATAAAATTAGGTTGCCTGGTATCGTTGGACAACCACAAGTGTGTACCTCTAATATAATATTATATATATTTATATATATATATACAACCATCAGAATTATGAAGAAAAATGAGGTCTGCAATAATTTGCCAACCTCGACCTTTTAGATATCTGCATCAGGTCGGCATTGCCAAATGCTTCGGCATTGCCAAATGCTGACCATAATTCTGAGGGTTGGTATATACCATAGAGTATATAGATCAGCAATTGCTTATTCTTTTTGCTGACCCTTATAGGATTTAGCTTTTTTTTAAAAAAAAAATAAAAAAAAAAGTATAATTAAATAAAAGATTGCTGCCCCAGCCCAAACCCTCTGTTGATGTAGCAGCACTCCTTTGTAGCAACAGGCTATAAGATAGTTGATTTATTTACTGAAACACCTGGCAGCAGGCTTTTTCGTCATCACAACACACTGCTTACATAAACACTTATATATATCAAGGGGTAAATTAACTCAAACTTACCAAATTGTGAAAATTTTGGCATGAAAAAAAAAAACAGTTTTACTACAACAAAAATACTTCACTAACTAACATATTTTAAATATTATTTGCATAAAGCAAATGTAATATAAATACAAGCTAAAAATACTTATTGCTATATGCCAAAGATTAAAAATTAATAAAAATGAGGTAAGTAAGAATGAATGCGCTACTTTAATTCAAAAGCTAGATAAAGCTAGATTTGTCTTTGAACAAAGTTTAAAGACAAATATTTCTTGGTTATACTTGTGGTCCGATTGTAGAAAGTGTATTTTTGAAAATTGGCTTCGACTGACCTAACAGACAAATAAACATAGATAATATTTGTTCAACCAGGTCACTTTGTGTCCACATCATTATGAAACCTTTTTCATAAAACCTTTTAATTTATTGATTGGCTTCGAATAATATGCTTTTAAGCAGGCTTAAGAAATGTTATAATTGTGATAATTAAAGAAATTCAAATTAGTTAAACAATGAATAAATAACAAATATGACAACAAATTAGTTATACATTGAATGAATATAGTTTGTCTTGTTGATTTTTTTGCATATATTTAAAATGACGCATTTTAAAAATGCGCTGAAAAAACCAATCTAATAAATTTTCTTATTGTTTTTTTTTTATAATTAATAATTTATCATTATAATTATTTATGAGAAAATAAAAACCTAACAACAATAAATATATAGATTTTTTTTTAATGACAAAATAAAAAGATACAAATAGTATATAAATATATATATGTTTTATTTTATATTTTTTTTAATTTGTTTTTTAATAAATTTCTGGCGCTTTTTGTTAAGTTTTTATTTACAAAATGAATTGTCATTAAGTAGTTATTATTTTTTCCCGTTGGTTTGACAAGGTTTTAACTAATACTTTTTATATAAGGAGAATTTTTACAAAAAACTTTTTTTTTTATGTGATTAAAATTATTTATTTTATTGTTTTTTTATTTGTTTATGTATTATTGTTTTGGTTGACATATAGATGTAAATAAAAGATTTTAATGTGAATACTTTGCAGCATTTTTAAAATTCAAACTTATAAAAATAAAGCACTACGCATAAACAAAAAGAAGTGTAAGTAAAAACTTTGACAAACCAATGACTCAATCAAGTAATAATAAAGATGTAAAACTAAAATATTTTTCTGAAGTTGTTCTTGGTCTTGCGAAAAAACTGTTTTTAGTTTAATAACTTTCATGAATGCTATGAAAAATCACTCAGAAAGAGTGCCACCAGTTTTTAAAAAATTTGTTTGTTAAATATTTTTAATGAATGAGTTCATACTTATGCAATTCTTTTGTTACGCAACTCTTAATAGTAGATAAAAAAAATTCACAATAACCGCTTGATAATGTAAGTGTAATAATAAATAATAATAACTGCTCGATTATGTAAGATAATAATAAACTTAAAGTATCAAAAAAACAAGTTTATTTTCTTGAGCCGGTCAACTCTGATAGGTTTTTATAAAATCTTAAAATTGGTATAGAGTTCTTAGCATTTTGTGAAAGTTTCCAATGCAAATTGCTTTACTGATTTGCAGAAATCAGACCTCAAATTTGAAGCATTTTACGTTGTTTTCCGTGTAACATAAGTGGAAGTGGCATTTTTAGTAATAAGTTCACTCTCTTTTGGATAAACTCAAAACTTTTTAGCTTATTTTATTCATTAGACTAACAGCTTTCATACAAAATAGCTGAAAGTTTAATTTAAAGTTCAAATAAGCAAATATTTGATAAAGTTGTTACGCTGGTAACGTAAGTTAAAAATGGAATCGCCCATATGTATGTTGTTTTAATGTTTTTATTTTCTCATTAATAACTATAATAATAAAGTATTAATAAGAACATTAAAATAATATAACAAACTAGTTTTGTTTTTCAACGCGTTTTTAAAATGTGTCATTTTTAATATATGCAAAATAAATCGTGGCCAAATTACCAACAAAAAAAAGTACTTGCGTTGTCATTCAAGGCGTGCGACCCTGAGAAAGCCTGGCCTACTGTGTAAAAATCATACATTCTAATACTTTAAAAAAAAAAGAGAGCCAAGAGCTGCTTAATTGCAGCTCCACCTCTGGCTCCTCCAAAAAAACTTGCTTTTAAGATCGCTAAATGGCTTTGGTCAATCGTAGTTCATAATTTCTTAATTCGACCCTGGTATGTATGTGTGTATATGTGTGTGTGTGTATGTGAGTGTACCTTGCTTTGTAAACAAAGAAAATAATGGTATGCATTCTTATTTTTTTGTATTTTACACATATTTTCAAAATTGCAATTGATTTTTTTTAGATGAAGTTAGTGATGAAGCGCATAATGATAAGATGTATAGATATCAAGACCTTCTTCAAATGTTACCAGATATTAACTATAATTCATTAAGATACATTATTTTGCATCTTAACCAGTAAGTTTTTCAACCAGTAAATAACAGACTACAGAATTTTATTAGAAATCTTTTTAACTGAACTTATTTGTGTTTAGGATAATCAAGGAAGCTGACAAAAACAAAATGACATTAAGGAATATAAGTCTTTTGTTTGGTCCAATATTACTATCTAAGGTATTTCATTTTGTAGTTGTTTTCAAAAATCTTTTATTTAAAATGCAGCACACAAAACAACAGAAATGAAATGATCAATATTGGTCTTTGTTGACCTCACAAAATGAATCCGTTCAAGGTTGACTAATTAATCTTAGTTTGAAAAAATAAATTTTGACAAACAATCAAGATTTATTTCGAAAATTATACTAAAAAAAATTACTGCACTAGATTAAACTTCATATCATTATTGTATGTTAAAATTGTTATTTTCTAAAGCTTGCAACAATTGGTTTCTATTTAAAATAATGATCACTTGAACATTGTAATAAAATTAAAAAATTTAATTAATATTTAATTAATATTAATTTATATATTAGTTTATTTTTAATTAATATATTTATTATATTATATATAAAATTTAAACAAGTTAGTTAAAATTTAAATATACGAAGATATTAAATATCTAAAATCAAGTGTTTCAAACTATTAATTGAAGAATTAGTTGTTTACTTAATTTATTTGTTTAAAAAAAGCGATGATTTGATTTAAAATTTTGAAAGTAATACTCTTATAGCATAAAGACTTTTTTTTCATTTACAGAGTTTAGTAAGTGTTATAAAAGAAAAATTAAAATACCGAAAGAAAATAATTTTTAATTGAGCAATATAAAAAACAGTTGACCTATGTGTACACATAGGTCAACTGTTTTTTTATATTTATATATCAATTTGACTGGCTAACACGTGTTAGCCAGTCAAATTAATCGTCTACTTTTTATTTTTTATTTTGTGCGCTGGAATTGGTTTTATTAATTGTTTATTTCAATAAGAATTAACTAAAGTATAGTTAAATATAATAAAACTTGCAGTTAAATTTTATTTTTAAATTTTAGTGCATTCTTTGTAATTTCTTGTAAAATTCTACTTTTGCAGAATTTTTAAATTTTTTGTACTTTGTTGATTCTTGTAAAATTCTACTTTTAAATGCTGTCATTAATTTAAGTCTAGGTTTTCAAATAAATTAATATTACTATTTTTATTAACTGTTATGCTTTGACTATTTTTTCTGCTTTAAAATACAATACGGTATAAAATACGATATAAATTTTATTAAAAAACAATTTATAATAATCAGCATTGTTTAAAATTTATAATAACCTATCAGATTACAGTATTTCAAGAAATTTAATTAAAATAAAGTAAGGTACTATAAAAAAAAAAACTAACAAATTATTTTTAAATTGTTTTAGGGAAACACTGTTGATCAAGCATTGTTAAACCAAGAATATAGTGTATTGAGTGATATCCTCACTTATTTTCAATGGCTCTTCAATGTGTGTAACTTTATATTTATTTTTTTAATAATTTTTATTTTTGTTAAACCAAGAATATAGTATATTGAGTAATATCCTCACTTATTTTCAATGGCTCTTCAATGTGTGTAACTTTATATTTATTTTTTTAGTAATTTTTATTTTTGTTAAACCAAGAATATAGTGTATTGAGTGATATCCTCACTTATTTTCAATGGCTTTTCAATGTTTGTAACTTTATAATTATTTTTTTAATAATTTTTATTTTTGTTAAACCAAGAATATAGTGTATTGAGTGATATCCTCACTTATTTTCAATGGCTTTTCAATGTTTGTAACTTTATAATTATTTTTTTAATAATTTTTATTTTTGTTAAACCAAGAATATAGTGTATTGAGTGATATCCTCACTTATTTTCAATGGCTTTTCAATGTTTGTAACTTTATAATTATTTTTTTAATAATTTTTATTTTTAAATATGGCAACTAAATATTTATATATCTGTTATACAAGTATATAAATTTTTATTATTTTTAATATATAATATATAAAAATTTATTATTTAGTTGGTTAATATAAATTAATATTGTTAGATATCATAGAAAATTTAATTGTTCAAATATGCAATTAGCAGCTTTATGGAGAAGAAAAAAGTATAGGGTAGAGTAAGGCTTGACTTAAAACTGACAAGGGTTAAAAGCTTTCTGATTTCATAAGAAAAATATTTTTTGACAGATTTCGTAAGAAAAATTATTTTTAGGAGAGAAATAAAAGAAATTAGTCAGACCAGTACAAAAAAAGAATGATAGGAATCCCATCAACTTTAAATTAGTTTTAATTAGTGCAATTCAGGCCTTTTTTTAAAAACATATATATATACATACAGGCCTTTTTTTAAATAAAAGATGTTTAATGCATTAGCTTAACATAATATTTGACATCATAAAATTCTCTTTATTTTTTTGTTTTTTAAAGACTTTTTTAATTACTAGTCTTAAATTACTGTAATAATATTAATTACTGCAAAACGAGTTAAATGTAATTTAACGGCTTCTTTATTATTACTATAAAAGAATGTTTATTTTTTTTTAATTTTTTTTAATGTTAAATAATTAAATTTAATATTGCATTTTTAAAAATATTTGATATTAACAAATATCTTTCTTTTCTCAACATATTTGCATAAATGAATTAAAATATGTTAAATTTTTGAGTTTTTAAAATGATTATTTCTTAAATTTCTAATTGCGGCTTTGCAACTACAAATGATTTTTTATTTAAAAAAAATTAGTGAGTAAATTAGTAAAAAATAAAAATTAGTGAGTAATTTAGTAACAAATAAAAAAAAATATGTTAATTTATTTACTTTATTTACATTATTATTAAAGGTTCATTATTTTATTTTTTTTATTATTAAAATTACATCGCTGAATATATCGTTTATTAAAAAGTAATCACTGCAATTTAACTTGCGTTATAAAAATGGTTTAGAAGGAAAACCAAAAAAAAAATTGCGATAAAAATAAGCTGATTTTTTTGTGGAAAAATTAAAAACAATTATTAATAAAGTAGATTGTTTATGGTAGGGTGTTTTTCCTGCTCGCTGCATATGTATATTTTATGGATACAACTATAGTTATAATAATAATAAAGCCTTTGCCTATTATTTTATTTATAAGATAGATTCTGGATGCAGTTTAATACTCACCTTTCTAGAATGAATATTTTTATTAAGATGCCAATGAAAACAATATTCAGATAAAATATTTTTTTCATTCAATATTTATTATGGTTTGATTTTTTGTTATTATTGTGTCTGTAATCTTTTGGTTACTTGTTTTGTTTGTTGGTTTTTTTTGTTTTTTTTTTGTTATTTTTTGTTTTGTTTTGTTTGTTTTTTTCAGTTTTTTAAGTATGAATTTATAGTAGTTACATAATTTTTTTTTATTTAACAATTTTTTTTTTAGGTTGATGACAATGAATTAAAAGTGCTTGAGGTATTTTTTAATAAATTTAGTTTATTTATAAGAAAGCTACTTTGTTTTTTGTTTTTTGTTTTGTTTTGTTTTGTTTTTGTTATATAATTGTTAAATAATAGTTAGCTGGATATATTTTTATTAAAAACAAACAATTTTTGTTTCAAATTATAAAATTATAAAGAAATATCAATTTTTGTTTCAAATCTTAAAATTATAAAAAAACATCAATTTTTGGTTCAAATCTTATTATTATAAAATCCTTATTTTTTAATTAATTTGGGTGTAAATTTATTTTGACAGTTTTAAGAAGTTTGAAATATTAATTTTTTATCAACCAACTAAAAACTGTTAAAAACTTTATCCTAAAAAATATTTATTTTAATTAAAAACTTCTATCAAAATATAAAGAATATATAATAATATCCAAATAATCGCTTTACTTGTTACCAGTAAAAAAATATATTATTTCATGACAATGACAAATAAATAGTATTATATATAAAGTAATTATTTTCTTCTGTAACAATATTAATTTTAATACTTTTTATCCAAAATATAGAATATGCAAGACGGTTTTAAAAAACTACAAGAAGCGCAGGAGGAGAATGATCGCTTAAAAGCACAAGGGGTAAAAAGTTATAAAGTTTTAATGCTGTTATTGTTATATTTATTATTATTGTTATTTTTATTTTTGTTGATATCATTTATGTTATATTAATTTGATTGTTGTATTGCTTTTTTGTGATTACAATATCTATTACTATTATTTTTATTCTTTTTTATAGTTAATATTGTTATTATTTTATTGCTGTTATTATTTTCTTTGTTTTTATTGTTGCTGTTATTATATATAAAGAATGTTTGTGATTATGTAGTTATTAGCCAATAGTAAAAAAATTTACCTGCTGAATAAAAATTAAAATCATATGTACTTCACTATTATTTTAGAGTTTAGCTATAACATTAATTGCTAAATATCCTTAAGTACAACTATTAATCGAAACCGGCAAACCTAAGCTGCATATTTAAAAATGCTGCATATTTAAAAATGCTAAAGTGTATTTATATATAAGGTAAATTTTAGCTACTTTTAATGTAATTAGGAAATATGTTTTCATTTATTGAATTTTCTAAACATTAAACTATATAAAATATTCTTCTTTGAATCAATCATCTTCCTTGAATCATCTGCATAAATCTTTATATCATCATTGTAATTGTTCTCTTTGTTTTTGTGCATCATTTTCCTATTGCAAATTGTTATAGGAGATGTATGCAAGTTTATCATACATCTTTTTGTATTGATTGCCTGTCTACTTATTTTTTCTCCTAAACCTTTTCTTATTTGAATCATTTCAACACAAAAATTGTCATTAATAAATTTTTTAACTTATAACATACAAATATTTTCAAAATTTCAACTTTATCTTTATAATTCAAAAGTTTCAAAACTATTGTTCTAAGTTTATTTTTATCTCTAAAGTTTGCTGTTGTCAAGGATTTTATGTAACTAACTTTTCTAAAGTTTTCTGTTGCCAAGGGCTATGACAGTTCTACCCTGACAGTTTGATATTACCAAGGGCTTTAATATTAAATTATACCATGTTGCATTAAAGCAACTATTTCAAAAAAGTATTTAAGACTGTTTTAAATTTTGCAACGACCATAGGGGACAGACTACTAAAATGTGGCAATTTATTATCTTCTTGTACAAAAAAAAAGCTATTTGTAGCACCCAAATTTAATATTTGTTGGCTAAATTCACGTTTCAATACCAGATTTGTTTCACCTTCTTTTAAAAAGTATCCAGCAGTTATGATTTAGGCCAAACCATTTGGGCCAGGTGAAAACTTGGCCCAAATGGAAAAATGGGATAAATGATTTGGGTCAGGTGAAAACCAGCATTTGTAACAGTTGTGCTGCAAGTTATTTGGAAGTTTTAAAAAATAATGTTTATTTGGTATTGAATCAAAAACTCTGACATTTTCATGCAGGGCAAGTGAAATATGCTATCAGGCAAAATTTGTAAAGGTAAATTCTATTATACATAATGTATTCAAATATTTTTGAGAAAATGGATAATACAGATATAGTTCTATCATTGGAGATCAATTAGAGGTACAGTTTTACTAAATTTAGAGCAATGTTACTAAAAGTCATTGTTAATTTTTTTAAGATTTGGGCAATGAATATTTATATTAATAATAATCTTGAGAGAAAGTGATGACCTACTTTTATTATGACCCATTATGTTATTAGTTACATTTCATATATTTTATATATCAAATTTACATTCAGTAATTTTTTTACTATAATTATATAAATAATTTTTCTATTTTCTATAAATATTCTATAGATATTTTTTATATTTTAGAAAAAATATTGATACAGGTATTTACAGTTTTGCTCAAGAAAAACCCTAATAATGTTCTTTCTTTTTGTGGAGACCATACAAAGTGCTAAAACATGTTTATATTGTCATTTCTCAGATTTGTATGTAAAAAATCATTTGCTGTATTGTGTATTTTGTACACAATACAGCAAATGATTTTTTGTATGAAATGATTTATCTTTTTAGCCATAGCTGTATTTATCGTTTTTTTGTCTTTATAATGGCTTTTGTTATTAATACCATTTTTGTTTTTATTACTGCTTTTGCTATTTTTGTTGCTTTTGTTGTTTTCATTATTACTTTTGTTTTTGTTATTTTTGCATTAAAAAATATTATTCTTTTAAAAACTATTTTTATTACTTTAAAAGCTTTTCTTTTAATATTTTTGTATACTATGCACTACTCTGAATATTACTGTGTATTTTAAATGTTATTGTGTATTTTATATGTGACTGTATTTTAAAGGCCTTTAATGTAAATAGTATTAAATACACAATATTCTTCTAAAATATTTTATTACACTATGTAACGCAATTTTTGTCATTGGATTCAAAGTGTTATATTTTTCAATTGCTTATGTCTAAAGACTGTGCAAAAAACAACTATATTCAACACAAGCTTTAGTTTTATGACCGCAACACTAATAAAAATTGGGTTTTTTTTGAGACAAAAAAAAAGTTTTTAGTTAACTATTCTATTTCAATATTGAATGTTATATATATTTTGAAAGTACATATATTAATATTCTTGAATTTCACTAAAGAAAGTTTGTGAAGTTTTGTACATGAGAATGCACGCACTTTGAGTTTTACACTCGACATCAGTTTTTGCACATTCTTCTGCTGGACTTTCTTGGTAGCTCTAATCCATTTATATTTGAAGTCTTCAATGTTTTAAGCTTCTTTTATATTGAGCCTTAGTTTTTTTCGACAAGAGCCCAATATCTTTCGATAGGATGTATTTTGGAATAATTTGGCGGATTGCAGTATTTTTCATTGAAATCTACTTTATGTTCTCTCAGTTTAAAGTTGTCCCAGAGTAGTAACATGATGCTGAATTGGGCCAAAATAACAGGTTACCCATGTGTGTTCTTAAAAATGGCAAAAGATGTTTCTTGAGGCATTTTTTTATGTATATATTGGTTTTAATTGTTCCCGTAATCAAAAAACAAGAGCTTCTTTCACCACTTTAACTGCTTGCCAAACTAAGAATTTTTTAGCAAATTTTTGCATTCCAATGAATTTATAAATTTTGCTGAATAAATTTTGGTGTCCTGGAAGAGATTGGAAATATGCAGCACAATAAGTTTCATCATCAATAATCAAAAAAGATTTTTTAACACATATTTTTTTATAGAGCAGTTTTGAACAACGAATTGTGACATTTTCTTGCTTTTCTTCACGACGAGGAACTTTTTTCTTTTTATAAGATATATAGCCACAATTTCTCTTCACTCTTTGTATAGTGTAAGCACTTGTCTTAAATTTATTTGCTAGAGTTCAAACAGAAATCTCTGGTTTTCTGTCTAAGGTATCTTTCACTTTTTTACTAAGATCTCGTCTAACAAAACATTTTTTTTCTTCCACTTCCTGAATTCCTTTTGTTACAAAGGTAACAACCAATCAAGCCTTATTGATAGTTAAACAAAACACTGAAGCATGAAGCGTCTAGTAGTTGAATATAATTAAAAACAATTAGACCGAAACGCGTCCCATCAAACTGAAATGATATAAATAGAGAAGAAGATGATGAAACAAGGTTGGTCGTTTGTTCAGAGTCACTCAGAGTTTGCTCAGAGTTTGTAGAATCATTCAATGTTGAGAAGAAGATATAGCAGAAGAAGAGGTATTAAGAAGAATTGTGTAGAATATTGAATATAAAATAAATTATAGTGAAATATAGTGAATATTAAATTGTATGTAGAATAATATCAGTTATATTAGTTGGAGAATTTTAGTAACACAGATTATATTGTAATTAACTTATTGTTTTTTGGATTTGTTATTAACTGTTAACCTAACACAAAGAATAAAGGTTTAGGGAATAAATAAACATTTTAAAATAAAACAGTATCTCTACTACTACTGTGTAACACTTTTGATTGTACCAGTGTCCTTAAATTATTTCACAACGCTCTGCGCTGCTCTCAAAGCAATGTGCAATTCTTTAGAAATTGTTTTGTTTGATACACCAGGATTTTCAACGAGAAAATGCAAAATATTTTCTCGCTTCTTATCTTGATTTGATGACATTTCAATTAAAACTAATTGTTTTGATAACAGAATCGTTTAAATTTTGAATAACACTACTACAATGACATTTCAAAACAATTAGCTGTTTAAAATGATGCACAGTTTCCGTAAGCCCCACATCAGAACACTCGCAAATTTTTTTTTAGTACATGTTTTATGTTAAGTAGACAGTAAAAAATCACTCAAAAAGCTTTAAAAATGAAAGGATTTGCTGGTCTACTGTCACTTTTACAAAGTTAAATATAGTCCACCATAATGTTTTATTATACTGTACTTGATAACAATGTTCATTCCAATATATCTTGATAAAAAATGTCTGTTTTACTTATTAGAGTAAGCTTCCATATTTTCCTTGAATTTGTTGAGATGATCATTGATAAATAGGTGCCATTCACTCATTCACCAATTGTCTTGAATAGACTGGTATCTAAATCATTGAAATTCATTAGATAATCCAAAAACATTCTAGAAAGTTCTGGATGTTCTTGAAGGTTCTTTAATATTTTTTTATTAAAAATTCTTTGTTGTTTTAGACCATTTTAGCAGTTCAGGGATATTTTAGAACTCATTATTCAATGTAATTTGCTAACTTTCTTGAATTTCTGTAGAGCAATAATAATTTTTTATTAGACCCAATGACAAAACAAAAATAAAATATTTTTACAGAATGTTATAGGAGTTATAATTTAAATACTTTGTAACTATTTTCACTATTTTTATAGCCAGTGAATATTAGTTCAATGCAAGTACCAATACATGTTGAATCTAATGAAGACCAAATGAAGGTTTGTTTCAATTTCATTATAGTTAAAAGTATATCACTTATGATATTTTCCTTATGCATATTATATTAGCCAGATATTCAAGATTTTGCTTTATAATTCTTTTTCTGTAACGTATTTGCGTTTTTGTAATTTGTTAACCAGCGTTTGCGCAAATCTTTATTACAAACTGGATCAACTTAGATATAATTTTTGGCATCTTAAGAAAAAACAGTTTAAACAATAATATAATTTATCATTATTGTATAAAGTCTTTATATATGCATAATAATGCATAAATTATCATTATTGTATAAGTTCATTATATCTTACATAAATTGTTATTATTGTATAAATCTTTAAGATTAGAACACTTTATTTTTTTAAACTCTATTGTTCTATTGTTATTTTTATTTTATTTTTTAATTTTTTAAGTATTCAAAACGTCAATTTGAGATTTTTTATCAGTTGTTTGTTTACAGTTTAAAAAGAAAAAATAATATTTTAAAATCTGTGGGAGATTTTTTGAAGCATTCTAATTTCATCAAAAATAAATACAATAGTTGTCAAGATTGTGGCAATGACACAGAATACCATGCAAAAAGTATTTTTAGCCACTTAATAAGTAATTTTTAGACTTTAGAAAGTCCATCAAAAACTTTAGAATTTATGATAGAATGCAAAAGCTCCCCAGACCATAAGGTAGCTGTTTTCATCTGTAAGGGCTGAAATTCAAAGATTTCTAAATTAAATTCATTTGTTTTCCAGCACTAGGGTTTCTCATTTCCCGTAAATTTAGCATCCCGGGATTCCCGGTGTGTAACTTATTTATCCCGGGATTTCCCGGGATTTCCCGGCATAATTTTTAATATAATAACAAGCGGTTTCTGACACAAATTTATCTTAGCACGCTAATCTATATTACTATTTAAAATGAAATATTGTTTTAAAAAACATAAACAATCAATTGATTTGTCACTTAATCGTGAACGAATTTTTCCCATAAATAGACCCGCGGCAGAAAAAGCCCTTTCTGATTCAATTGATGTCGGCTTGATGGTCATTAATGTTGAGTATATTCTTTCTAAACTTTCGCTACGCTTTCCAGTTGCCTCAAAAAGTTTGATTTCTTTTGTGAGGTTTTTTAAATTGCTAATGTTTTCTAGAGCTGCTTTTTCTACTTGTTTGACATTACAAATAGTCGCATCCAATTTTTGTTCAAGCGTCAAAATACTTTTGCCTAATAAATATGGAGCAACAGGTTGAGGTATTGACGGGTCAGAAACCATGCTTTCATTATCACGACTCACTTCAACTATTTCATTATTTGATGAACTAAGGCTAGCATCCTCTATGTACAACCTGGTATAAATTTTTTTTGCTGTTGCTTTTAATGCATGTTTGGGCGGTAAGAGTAGTTTGGAGTTGATATTTGATTCCTGATTATAACTAATTGGGTTGTTTAAAAATTTTAGTAATCCAATTAAATCGGCATTTCTGCGTTCTTCAATTCTCTGCTGCACAGATTGAAGCAGTTTATTAGCTTTTAAATTTTTTTTCTCCGTCAAATCGTCTAAGATGAATATCATTACACCTTCTGCGTCAAGTAGAGTAGCATTACTTCTACCAAGTCTTTCTATTCCAACTTTTATTGGTTGCAGAGAAAATGTTATGTCGTTCATAATCGCATATTCATCTTCGGAGATATTCAGAACTTCTTTTAAATCGATCATTGCTTTTAGTATACATGTTTTTACTTTAAGGAATCTTTCTAGCATTGCAACAAGACTATTCCACCTCGTTTTGACATCTAATATCAGCTTAAGCTCTTTATTAAACATAGATTTTACGTACATTTGTAAAACTTCATTTTTAAGAGGTGATTTACGGAACATTCGAACCACTTTTCGAACCTTCTGAATTGTTAAGGCTATATTTACGCTATTTTGTAAATCATCAATAAACGTAACGCCTGTTGAGCTGTGTGACTCATCATTACAGTCAAATACATCATCAAACTCGTCGTAATCACTCAAATTTTCATCGGAATCTTGAAACTGCGATTCAAATTCAATATATTTTGCTGAAGAGTCTGACTTTTTGTAAAGAACATCACATACTGCCAAATGAAGTCCGTGGGCATAACACAGCTGATGTTCAATACCACTTAGCCGTCCAAATTTTTTCATTACGGATGCTCCGTCAGTGACACTAGCTATGATGTGCTTTTTAATTGATAAACTGAAATCTGACAGTTTATTTTCAACTAGATCAACAATTTTTTCTGCAGGAAGTGATCCAGCTATCGGAGTCATTCCCAGGTTCCAAAACTTTGTTGATAAGTGTAAATTTACATTTAAATAACGTCGATTTTTTAAAGACGTATATTCGTCTAACGATAAAGAAAATCGCGACCCGCTAGAAATTTCTTTTGTTATCTCTAAAACCACAGTTTGTCTAGCTAATTCATATTGTTTTTTTATCATACCCATAACATGGGATGGATTTTTTGGTAATAACATGCCTTTTTCAGACAATGATTTTCTAATGAATTCACTTTTTGTTATAACATTTATTGAGAAGCCATCCACCGTTGCTAGCTTTGACACAATTTCCTCGATAGTCTGCTGTTTAACAAACAATGTTATTTTCTTTTGAACAATTTTATTTTCCGAACCAGTATCTTCAAGTAGACACTTCATATTTAGATCCAAATCTTTATGTGTGTTTTTTAAATGACGTAGGAGCCCACTGGTCGAAAATCCTTTGCACATTATCTTTACATTGCACTTTTTGCAAATTGCAGATTCGCCAGATTTTTCTTTACAAAAATACTGCCATGCTTTGGATCCATTTACAATTGACATAGTATAACTAAATTGAATCGCAGAACAACTAAAAGTAAAGTTACAAATATTTCTTACATATGTATGTTATCTTACGTATGACTTTTATGTGTTTGTTTGCCGTTTTTTAAATACAAAAATTATTAAATATTTCAATAATTTGATACAGAAAAAGTTTAACTTTTCAATAATTTAGAAGTTTAAAAATTAAACTTACTGTTTTCGTCGCAAGAAATCTTTTTTATTTTTTACTCATATTTTATAATAATGAGAAAAAAGAAAACATTGCATTGCAATGCATTTCTTTTTAGTTTAAGATAGTTTCAATAGCATTTCTTGTTGTGCTAGGTTTTAATATAAGGTATGAACACATAAAACACAACTAAATGCAATAATATTTTTCTTATTTTTGGTCGAATTAGTTCAAAGTTATCATATGTAAAATTATTTTTAAAAAAATTATATTCCGGGATATAAGAGTGATATCCCGGGAAATCCCGCTGCCACTTTTATCCCCGGGATCCCGGGAAAACGGGATCCCGGGATCCCGTTTGAGAAACCCTATCCAGCACCTTTTAAAAGTCTTCAGCAAGTCTTTAGAATCAGTATTTTACTTATGTTACATTGAACTACAAGGTTTTTTTTTTCTATTACTGTTTTTTAAAAGAGGTTTTTTCTTTGGAACTTGGCCTTAGACAACAATTGCTCAGTCTTTTATTTACAGTTTTGTATTGTGTACAGAATTTAAATCTACTTGAGTTTTTGTTGCTAGTTGTTATGGAAACAGTTTCTTTATGTTACTTAATTGTGTTGTGTACAGTTGATCTAGGTGTAATGTGATAATTTCTCATGATTTCAGATGATCTAGGTATTTTTAGTAATGTGACAATTTTGTGCACAGAAAAGCATTGTCTTGGGTGAAGTCATTAGTATTTGTTTGCTTCTTGCGATCAAGAAATTTACTTCTACATGAAGTATAATTAATTGAGATTTACATTTAGGTTAAATAAATGCATTCACCTCATGTGTGTATTTACCTTAGTCAAAGTCTCATACAAACTAGGGGTTGCATTCTCATCTCTCTGCTAAACCTAACAGAGCAAAAAAATTAAGCAAGATCAAAAATTTATTTTTAGCTTTATTGATTTAAGAAATATTTTGAATATTATTTTAACAGAGATAAGTGAATCCTGCTCACACTGTTTTCGCTAGAGTAGTTATTTTAAATTTAAAATAATTATACATTATTTTAACTAGTCCTAATATTTTTTGTTATTGTTACAAAAAGTAAAGTGCAATAATCTGAATTTTAATACAAATTGAAAAAAAAGTCAACAATTTCAAAAAAGTAAATAATATTATTCGTATGGTTTTTTAGATTAAACTACAAATAAATTTTAATGAGTAGAATGCATGTTTTAGTTAAAATACAGTTCTTGCATTAAATCTTTTTTACTGTAAAGTATATTATTGCACAAAGTATTTCTTCTTATGTAGCTATTTACATATAGTATAAAATAGACAGATAATCAAAATTATTACCTTATATTTTGAAAAGTATATATGTTAACTAAGTAAATATATTTATAACTAAATAAGTATATTTATAACTAAATAAATAAATTTATAACTAAATAAATATGTTTATAGCTAAATATAAAAAGTCATTATGATACTTTAGAACCTTTGGTTTTAGTGATATCTGCAAATCAACATATTTTACCCTTTTTTTTATTATTTAAGTTAATACAATATCTTGTGAAACAAAATGCGATTACCAAAACAATATCGTTTTGGTAATCGCATTATCCCACTATGGTCCAAAACTTTAGAATATATTTCTGTGACGAAATTTTATTATATTTATAAGGAAAAACTAAAATCTTATTTAATGGTGATTGGTGAACTGTTCCTCCAGAAAACTCTTGAATATCAAGAATTTTATAAATATCAAAAATTTGTTGCACAGCTGAGCAAGTGTTTTGCCAACTTATTCATTATTCCGGCAAAATACAGCTGTGGGTAAACCTATGTATTTATTTATTTAAACTAAAATTTTGCATTCATGTTACTTTCACTATAAAACACTAAATTTACATTAGTCTTTAGGTATATGTATTTTCAAAAATAGTTTTCAGATCATGTATATAAACCATTATCTTATTTACAATAGTACAAAATAAAAAAGAAAGACATCTCATAGAATAGGTTAATAATGGAAAAGGTTTTACAAAATTTGGAATTCTTAGAGACCCATTACAGTACACATGAAACTAATGGAATTTTAACTTAATTAGTCTCACATGACCAATTATCTCACTTTTAATTCTATTTAATTTAAAATTAATGTGTTAATTTTAAATTTGATTTAATTTTCCAGATGACCAAGTCAACCAAACCAAGTGATGTTTGTTTATACTGCATAAAAAAATACAACTTGTGTGTTGATGGAAATTGGGCTTTATTTGAATCAAGTCAAGACAATATGTCAGGTATTTCATATAGACATTCTGAAAATTTATTAAAACTTTTTATAAAAACAAAGTTTTAATAATAAGTTTGATCAAAAGTTAATATAATTATTATTTTAATATGGAGTTGATTTGTATTTAAATCTCTTAGTGTCCAAAAATTAAAGTGAACCATTTGTTTTCTTATTCATTCTAATTATATTTGACTTTAAAATAAGATTTATTAGAACTAGAATACATGCTCTAAAGAACACACAAGTCTAAATAGTAGGGCACTTGCAGTGTGCTTCTAAATAAGTAATAAAAAAATTTACACAATAAATAAATACAGTTTATAGTTTAAACAGATAAATAGTATCAGATTATTCCAGACAATAAATTATTTGGAAAAACAATATTTCCAAGTAGTTGATATGGTTGCTATGGTTGATATGGTGTATCTTATAAGTATGACCATGAATGATATGGTAAGTATGACCATGATTATTCCTAATCTTATTGTTAATGTCTTACAAATTATTAATTTAATTTATTGAATTCAATTTATCAGTTTATTAAAATTTTCATTTTTTTATCATATCATTTTTTATTTATTTTTTATTCTTTTTTCATTTACATATTTTAATTAAAGTGATCGTATTAAAAAACACAAAAGTTTTACTTTTAAAACTGTGTTAAAGAATCAAATGTTTTAAAAATATTTTTTGTAAACTGACAAATTTTTTTAAAAATACTTTTGTTGTAAACTGACAAATGACAATTTAATAATTATATTTTATTAGAGCGTCTTATACATTCTAAAGAAGATGTTTTGACGTTGGCAATGAATATTGGGGATAAAAAACTTGTTGTGAAAGAAAATTATGTTGTTTCAAAACTTTCCCAATTTGTAAGTATTTTATTAACATTGTTCAAGTTTTTGTTTTGCTTTTTTTTTAGTTTTTTTTTTGCTTTAAAAAGTATGTTATTTAGAGATCAACTAGTCTGGGATTGCAAGGGTATCTTCACTATTCAAAAAACGATAGTAAAACCTGGAAAAAAAATATGTTTGTAGATGTCAAAAATGGAAATGTGAAAGTTTTTTCTAAAAAAGTAAGTTCATTTTTGACTATTTATCTTTATATCTTTTTTGTTTTTTATTTTCATTTTTTTCATTTTACTGATTGTTTTACTGATTTTTTTCTTCTGAAGTCTAAATACCAAGTGGGTAAATCAAATCCCACTTAATATATGAAGTCTAAATACCAAGTGGGTAAATTAAATCTTAATATGTGTAAGCTTGGTTCAACAATATGGCGACTGAATTTAAATTATTAAACTGATAAAAAGATAAAATGGGGACAAGCTGAATTAAAAAATAATGTTTTGTGAAACAAAATTATTATGTTGTGCTTTTCTCATTCAGGGATCAAGTAAAGAAGATGAAAACATAGCAATTCATGAAACTATGCTTTATATGGGGCTAGAACTTAAAAAAAAACCTCCTGCAAAGTATGTTTATTTTGATTATGTTTTATTTTAAAAAGAGAAAGAAAATTAAAAAGATTTCATTAACCATAAAAAAAATATACATCAAGTTAATCTTCCTTGCAATGGTGCCATACTCCATTGTAATGGTGTCAATCATCATTAGTAGTAAGGTTAACAAAACTATATCAACGTCTGTTAAACAGGTTAACCAAACACTGGTACTTTTTTGGTAAATCAACAGGTAAATTTCTGATGAATCTTATAAGGAAATTGTAGCATTTTTTTTATTTTTTTTTTGATTTTATAGAATACTTTTTTGTTTATTTGTTTGTTTGTTTTATAACAAAAAGGATTAAAATCTTTCTAAAAAAGATATTTATATAAATACTTTTTTTTATATGTATTTCAGTACGATATTAATTATTAACTAAAAATTTTTAATAGGTATGGGTTTTCCTTGCTTATAAAAGATAATGAAAAATTTGAAACAAGGTAATATTTTTATATATATCTTTATAGTCAGAGTCCAGGAGTCCCTGTTTTTATCTGGAGTCCTTCTTGTTTTAAAAAATGTTGGTAATCCAGGACTCTTGGAATTTTTTTAACTTTATATCAACATATAAACCTTTCCTAACAAACCATTAAAGTTTTATTAATTTATAATTGTTTAGCCAACAGTTACATAACCTTAAACCAGTAAAAGCATAAATAAATTGAATTACGCTGCATATGATAAGCTCTTGGGTATATAAGTATTCAAAAATGTGCAGTGTGTTTATGGCATATATTGTCTATAGCATACATTGGTTTTAAAAGGATATAAGATACAAATCACAGCATATGTGGTGTATAAAACCTTTGGTGTACAATGGTGCTAGATGCCGAATTATGCTTAGGCACAAATAATTACATATATATATATATATATATATATATATATATATATATATATATATATATATATATATATATATATATGTATATACATATGTATATATATATATACATATATATATACATATATATATGTATATGTGTATATATATATATATATATATATATATATATATATATACATATATATATATATGTATATGTATATGTATATGTATATATATATATATATATATATATATATATATATATATATATATATATATATATATATATATATATATATATATATATATATATATATATATACACACAGTATTGGACAAAACATTTGCAACCAACATCGAACAATGCTAAAAAGTGTTCCTAATTTAACATGTCTTAAAAATGAAACGAACTATACTACCACAGCAAACAGCTCAGGAGTCTGGAGTCATAGCATGCCATGACATGAGCAATCAGCTGACAGGTGACAGCACACAGGTAGAATTTCGTTGACAAGTGCCATTTTGCAGCGGACAAAACAAGTGCAACTTTTTTGGTTTCTTTCATTTCCTTAAGTCTGGTTTGTGTCAACGTCATGGAAGTTTTTTAATAGTTAAAGGAAGTATCCAGAAGTTTCCAGAAGCGTGCAGAAGCATCCAGAAGCATCAAAATGAAGCATCTAAAATCTTCCAGAACAGGTTCACACAGTTTCATTTTACTATATAAGAGACATGTAAACCGACATGTTATTCAGTTAATATATGGAAGTCAATCAGTCAGTATTATCAAGACAGTTTATCGAAGTGAGTTTTATCAAAGTGTTTTATCGAAGAACATCAATACAAGAAGTGAAATACAACAAGTGTTTCAATACATCAATACGGTCCGCATCCAACCAAGACGTTGTGTTCCACAAAGCATTATTGTATCATCACAAGGTAAATGTAACACGGTAAGCCTTGAGAAGCGTAATTATTTATTTTTATTATTTTTATGACTTCAAGTGCAAAATGGCTCCCGACAGTCTTGGATTCAGGCTTTCACAGGAAGACGTGCGATTTCACGTTTTTATATGACCACGCAAAAAAAAAATGTTTTAACGATTTGACCATGGCATTTTTTTTTAATTTAAAAACGCGCTACAAAAACTTACCTAAACTTATCTGAAAAAAAATTTAAAAAAATAATAAATATTAACGAAAGAGAAAATAAAAATAAATACTTAGTTGAAGCAAAAACACAATAAAATAAATACATATATATAACGCAACTAAAACAAAACGCATCAAACTAAAATGCTTAGTCTATTTAATTTAAGCATTAAAAAACCTTTTTATCTTTGTTTCAATATTTTTATATATTTTTTATTTATTTAATATGTTCAAAAGTTAAATATTTCTCAAAAAAAATACATAGTTATATAAATAAAATAAAAAAATATTTTATTAATACTTTTTTTAAAATTAATTAGAAGCGTTTTTTTTTTACTCCTTCAAAAGCGTTTCGATAATTTAAAAGCATTTAAGATCAAACTTATTAAATAGTAACGGTTTTCTAAAACTTTTTTTTTCAACAAAATTTTGTTTATCTTTTTAAATGCATTAACTTTAATCATTCTTATATTTAAATTCGTTAAAGAGACTAGCTGTAGAATGTCATCGTTTATAAAAACAAAACAATTTTTTATTTATAAAAACGTAGCCGTAGAATGTCATCGTTTATAAAAACAAAACAATTTTTTATTTTTTTAAAAGATTTATTTTAGAAATGAACACTTAAACAATTTATATGTTTTAAATTAAAAAATATATATACAACTGTCAATTATATTTAAAAAACAAAACTTTTTTTCAGTAAATTGTTACTTTATTAAAAATCGTTTCGCTAATATAAAAACATTTGTTAAGAAGTTTTGATGTAATTAATTTCACTTTTTTAGAATATTTTTTATTTAGCGCATTTCTAAAACGTTTTTTGAATTAGCCACGGTCAAACCGTCATAGCAAAATGTAACTTGCGTGGTCATATAAAGACTTGAAATCGCACCTCTTCCTGTGAAAGCCTGTGGATTGGAACTAAGAAAGAAAATTATTGTCGATTACCTAAGTGGAATGTCACAAAAAAGTATTTGTGATAAATATCGTGTGAAAAAATAGACCGTATCATGACTACGTTCCAAATATTGTTCTACAGGGAAGTTGGCAGCAGATAACAAAGGTGGAAGACCGCGTTCCACCACTTCTAGAGAGGATTCTATGATCGTCAGATCCGTCAAGAAGGATCCCTGGATATCATCAGTCAAAATACAAAAGCAATTAGAGCTGCCTGTATCAGACCGAACAATCAGACGACTGCTGAAGCTGAATTGTTTTCTCGACGCCCTGCAAAGAAACCGCTAATTTCACTAAAGAACCAGAAGAAAAGACTCTTTGCTACATCTCATATTGACTGGAATGTGCAGAAATGGCAAACTGTCCTGTTCAGTGATGAATCAAAGTTCAACATCATTGCAAGCGATGGCATTTGCCGTGTACGTCGATTTACATTACTGCCATAAGACCGTGAAGCATGGTGGAGGCAATGTAATGGTCTGGGGGTGTTTTTCTGCTAACGGTCTAGGTCCAATACATTGAATCAATGGAATAATGGACCATTTCATATATAAAAATATCCTGAAAGATGTTATGTTACCTCATGCTGAATGGAATATGCAATAAAATGGGTTTTTCAGCAAGACGACGATCCGAAACACACTGCAAAAGTAGTCAAGCATTAGTTTCAAGACAACCACCTATCGGTGATGGTTTGGTCGCCTTAATCTCTGGATCTCAACCCTATCGAGAACCTGTGGTAGATCGTCAACCGCAGAATTAATTGTGAAGGTGTTCGTAATAAAACTCAACTGTTTGAACAAATCCAAAAGGCCTGGGCAACGATTCAATGCAAAATACAGCTTGGTCAACATTTTGTAGAGTTGCACTTGTTTTGTCCAGAAGGAAATCAACTTTTTTTAATACATTTGATTAATTTATTGATTTTTGTGCACAAATAATAAACTTAGCGATGAATAAAACTTGAAGAACATTGTCTCTAAACAGTTACATAGTCATTTCTCTAAATTGAAAAAATGCAAATGTATATATATATATATATATATATATATATATATATATATATATATATATATATATATATATATATATATATATATATATATATATATATATATATATTATATATATATATATATATATATATATATATATATATATATATATATATATATATATATATATATATATATATATATATATATATATATATATATATATATATATATATATATATATATATATATATATATATATATATATATATATATATATATATCAGCAGTAAGCAACCCGTAATACAGGTTATTAGTAATTAAATCATTAATAACAATAATACATTAATAACTTGATATATTATCTAAAAAAATAAAACTGAATACAAATTTATCTATAAATAATATTTTCAATTTGGCTTCCTATCAGCAAGTTTTTTTAATACTTTTGATTAATTTATTGATTTTCGTGCACAAATAATAAACTTTGTGATGAATAAAACTTGAAGAATGTTGTCTCTAAACAGTTACATAGTTATATCTCTAAATTGAAAAAATGCAGCACTTTTATATAAAGAAACTAAATTAGCATTATTTGGTTGCACTTGTTTTGTTCGATACTGTATATATATATGTATATATATATATTAGTGTGCATCACAAAACAACAATTTAACAATTTTGATTTTGTCTGACACCTTATTGTGTTGTGTAGATTAAAAAAACACTGTATTTCAAATATTTTGGTACTAAAAATATTTTTAGAGGTCCCACAACACCCTTGAATATTTAATGTATCCCTAATATTTTCAAAAAAATAGTTTTTTTAAAGTAGGTCATGTTTGGTCTTAAATGAAGCGAAATTTTATAAAAAATTTCAAAATAATAAGTATTTTATAAAAAAAATGTTTCTTCAGATTTTTCTGCCATATGATATGGCAAATAAGAAAAAAAAGTGCAATTTTTTTTTGTTATTTTGTCAGAAAAATCAAAAGTAATGTATATATATATATATATATATATATATATATATATATATATATATATATATATATTTATATATATATATATATATATATATATATATATATATATATATATATATATATATATATATATATATATATATATATATATATATATATATATATATACCAGCAGTAAGCAACCTGTAATACAGTTTATTAGTAATTAAATCATTAATAACAATAATACATTAAAAACTTGATATATTATCTAAAAAAATAAAACTGAATAAAAATTTATCTATAAATAATATTTTCAATTCGGCTTCCTATCAGCACGTTATTGGCATAAAAAGGCTAGTTTAACATCAGTTCTTTTTAAAATCTATTAAAACAGAGCAGGTACAAGAAAAGAAAAGTCAAGTAAAGCCTGCCAATACCTAAAAAAATTACAATTTTCAATTACAAAAGTATTATTTGCATTTTATGGTTAGTAGAATTAGTATAATAATATAACAGAAAATATAAAGAATAAAATATTT